AAAATTAACAACATAACAGTATGATCGATATAGCCATTGCACATATGTGTATGGATGGACCAATAATTAATTTAGTTTTCGATACTGCGTATTTAGACCTGATCGTTGACATATACATTTAAATCAATTTGCTATCTAAAATACATTTAGAAACCGCAATGTTGCAATCTCTGGCAATAAATTATTAGTCCAGCAATTATGCAAACCCTGGATTAAACCCAATAAGCTAGTTCGCAGAACTTTATTTGTGTTTGCCTAGTGAAGCAATCACAAATTTAAGAGAGGAATATTTTTTGTAATAGAAAATTATGTTAGCTTGGTCGAAGTTTATTAATATATTAATAAATAGTGAGAAATAATGATACAACTTGAGCGCTATTTTATATTATTTTTAATTATAAAATGAGTATATAGACTTAAAAATATAGGATTACAATTTTAAAGAAAGCGTGTAAAACACGGATAAGTAACATTTGCATTTCCTCTAAATTTTATGCCACTGTCTAAAAACTTATTTGGACTATTTTACATTTTAATATTTTTTTTTTAAATAAATCTTGTACTCTTGTTGGGAACCCATAAATTGATTGGTTTTCGAGATATTCACACGCAAAGGTGGATATTCATCAATTATTGTATTATCTGATTTTGTAAGTTTTGAGTTTTTTATGAGTTCCCAACAAGAGTACATGATTTATTTAAAAAACAAATATATTTAAAATTATAGTACAAATTACTTGTTGGAAAATGTCGTAAAATTTAGAAATATTGCACGATGCACAGACTAATGGTATGTTCCTGCGTATGCAGCTGACTGACGGTGACGTCACGTGGGACATAGAAATATAAGCATTAAATGGGAGGTAGTGTTTAAAATTCAATATTTTGCCAATTTTAGATTTTATGCAGTTATTTAAGCTTTATTAGTTTTGTAATATATTCGTTTACAAATATGAAGGTTTAAGGTAAATAATAGTAATAAAAATATTAATTTTTCTCATAAATTATAGGTATTTTTGTGACAAAATTTATGATCTGGCCACAAGATAAGTAAAAAACATAGACTAAAAATGAAAGTTTGACGTAAATTTGTACTTTTTGGGCATGTTAGTTCTCTTGCAATCTTTTTCTTTATAATGTAAAATAAAAATAAGTGTGCAGAAATAATTTATTTATAACACGTAAATAAACAAAAAAATTACTTTTTATTTGGTAAATTTAAACATTTTTTGTCAAGTTTACTTCGAAAATACTCAAAACTAATTTTTCTGTTCATTTATCTTATGTGTTCGTGTCCTGCTCATGTATGGCATTACTTCAAAAGAACCGTTGTATTGGAAGAGGAAACTACTGTTTTATCTGCTAAAATTTTAAAATACTGATTTATTTTCTTTGCTTAATGAGGCCCGTGCACCTGGTGAAATTCAGTTTTATTTTCTTGCGTCTATGTTTAAGAGGAATCTCACAACTACTTTCATCAGAGTGGATAGGACAACTTCAATTAAGTTTTTCCTTTCTTCGATAAGAATTTACTCATATTTTGTGGCATTCGGAAATATATCCACCACGTAGATTGGCATTTTAAACATTAATTTAGTTCTTCCATGTTATATATAGGAAAATATAGTCACTACTAACACAAAACCAAATAAATTATTAAATTATTTTACACTATTCAATCGAAAAGTGTCAAAATAACTTGAAAGTTCGTCCCGCATTACATCATGCGTGGTTTGGACGAATTTTGAATCGAAAGTCAGCATAACATTAGTATGTGTATCATGGAAGAATGCAGGTGTTACCCTTGCCGTACGCTACTGGGAAACATTATTTAACTAATTTTGTTACTGATTGGTGTATATTATGACACAAAGAACGTTGCTCAGAGCAATTTTATGAAAAAAATCAAAATTACAAAATAAAAATAATTTAAAATGAATAATATCCACATTTGAGTGTGAATATCTCGAAAACCAATCACTTTGAGTTTCCAATAAAAGCACATGATTTATTTAAAAAAATCAAAAAATCTAAAAATGTAGTCCAAATAAAGTGTTGGACAGTGGCGTAAAATTTAAAGGGGATGAAAGTGTTCCTTATTCGTGTTGTACTTCACTGGTAAAGTTTATTTGACTTATTAAATTGCTAGTAGGTGTATCATATAACAGCAACGTTTGCTGAATTTAATAAACTTATACTGATAAATAAAAAATCATAGCCATTAATTGGAACGGATTGATAGTTTGGGTTTTTGGAAAGACATTTTATTTTTAAATTACAAAATTCTTATATACAGGGTAAATCTAAACATGCTCCCCGCTGATGCATCTTCTGTATGTGTTGATATACAAAAAGCCTGTTTTCCAGAATATTCCTTAAATCTACCGCCGAAATCGTATATAGGGATCTTCCAATCAAGAAATGTGCGGTAAGGCCCTTTGGGTCAGTTGATATGGGAAAAAGTGGTCTAGAATTTAGTACTGATTTGATTTGAACTAAAAAAACTATGCATCTCTTCATAGGTGAGTAATTTCTCACCAACTACTCTTTTCAGATGGAGTTAAACGCATTTAATATTGGCTTCCCATAAGACACCAAAATTAGGAGCATTAACAGATATACAATGAAAACGGATGTTAATATGCACAGACAAATCCAAAATTTGTGAACTGTTGTCAAACAAGAAAGAAAATATTTCTTTTAGTTTATTAATGTATTGTAAATTTTCATTAAATGTCAATAAAATATTTTGAATATGTTCCGCTAACGGATCATCCCAACTTAGTTTTTCTAACCACAATTGTTGCAGTATATTTTTCGCGATTATAACACATGGACTGAGAAGTTCCAACGGGTCAAAAATTGTAGCAATTGACAGAATTAGTCGTTTTGTTATAGTTGGTTGTTTGAGAGGTTCAATTTTATACAGCAGAATATGTCTGTAATTGCACCACAAAAGCTCTAGAATTTCACTAGTAATTTTTTCATCGGAACGATATTCTATATCTGATGAGTTGGAAGATGGAAGAACTTGCGGATCGTTTGACTTTCATTTCTGTAAATCAAACCCTCAAATTTTTAAGCATATTCGTGTACCTGTCAATAAATCGTCTACATACATATCATGTTTGACAATATGTGCTATATCGGGGTTTGTTTTAATAAATAGATTTGCTAACCCAAGTAAACATCGTATCGCAAAAAAAGGTACCGTTTTATGACCGTATGTGATCACATTTAGCAAGTTGTAAATATCCTGAAATATCTAATTTCGGGAGTGAGGATGACCAGGAACTTGTTGGATACGTTTGTGGACAGTAGGCAGACCTTTTTTATAATTATAATGTAAAAAAACCTTCAGTTTTTTTTACTTTGGCCTTCTGCGTTTAACCTTTTTCATATTAACTGTTGTATTCTAAATTCAAATTTCAATATATTTTCCACAGTCACCATCTATTTGTAAATTTTCTTTAAATTTTAACTAATTTGTTAACTTGTTTTTAATTGTACCTAATGCGAATGTGGTATAATTTCTAAGTTCCACACGAGCTAACTTGCTTCTGGAGATCAGATATGGTTTGTAAGGGCTTATTCCACACTCACTATTCCCAACACTGGGTTATGTCACTCTGTTTGTATCTTATAATTGTTAATTTGTTTAAAATAACCTTATATATATATAAAATTTTAACTTTTGACTTAAAAGTCTTACTCAAATTTTTTATTTTTTAAAATGTTTACATCCACAATTTTTGTAGATAAGCACTGATGATGGCAAATAAGCCGAAAGCGCTTTGCATTTATTAATTAAAAAGTTTTTCATGAAATACAAGTCTTTCCTTTTGAATCTAAACTACGTGCACACAGCTGTCAACCTTTTTTAATTATTTTAATAAACATTAATAATTTCAGAGCATAAACTATGTTCATGTATAGGTTCAACCACACTTTGATTTTCTTTTACTATACGGAGAATGGTCGCACTGCGCAGCTTTCTAAAGGTGCAATTTCGGTGACGCGGCTGGCTGCGGCGTCCAGCAGCTGCACTGGTATGTACAGTTTCAAATGGAACCAATTTGGCTTGCGCAACGCAGCAATAGTAGTGACTAGAGCAAAAAATGGCGCCATTTACGTCAAATGACGATGAAATTCTAATCAACGAAATACAAAAATATCCCGTAACTTATGATTATGAAGACAAAAATTTTGTTATTAAAGAAAATTGTTGGAAAAAGGTCGCTAAAGAATTTTCTAGATAACATTTGGTATAATTCTTCTTCATCTTCTTTTAATAAAATTAATGTTATCAAATCGTCGTAATCCATATTTCTTAATAAACCCCGCAAAAATTTAAAATGACAAAAATGATACAGTAACAATTACTCATCTAATAAAAGTAAGTTAACTAATTATGCATAAAACTGTGTATAATAAATTTATTTTTCTTTGGCAAATATTAATTTAGAAGAAAACAAGGAAAACCTCAATCATAACGAACACGTTCCTACTTATGATGCAGAAACGAGTAAGTAATTATTTATTATTTTATAATTTTTTATCTATAAACAAAAACCAGAAATCTACACTAAAAATAATTTTAAATAATATTCATACAAATTTTGTATTTTTTTATTATTTTGATAGTCCACTCGATTTTATTTTTAAACAAGTATTAGAAATTAAAAATTAAAAAAACCGACTTCAAAAACATGCAGATGCCATCACCACATTTAAACCAAATTTATATGGAACCACCCCTGAGGTACCCCCTTACTAACAAAAAAAGAATCATTGAAATCGGACACCGTGTTAAAGAATTATCGATAAACATACATAAAAAAAATATATCGCGACGAATTAAGAACCTCATCCTTTTTTGAAGTCGGTAAATAATAAAATAATACGAGACAACTATTGAGATTACCTCTTACACTTTATTTTAGATTTTTTTCCTATTGTTAGTAAATTATCTTTATATGTATAAAGTCAGTACAGCCGCTATGAATGAGGAAATGATAGAACCAGAAGAAGATCGAGAAAAAAATTATACTGTTTTAACAAATGGTAAATACACAGCACAAAAATTGTTTATTCTCAATAACTTTTACACTCTACAATATTAAGCTTTTGATTCCAACGATAGCATTAAAGATCCGGATTATGACCACAAGCAAGTGGCAGATGACGGCTGTGAATCTAATGGTAAGGAGCAAGAAATAACAGAATTAGATGACAGAAACTATGATAAACAGGACGAATTTCGAAATCAAACCTACAAAACTTTTAAAAAGAAAGTTGGAAAACGAGAAAATAGAAAGGACTTAAGAAATATTAGTAAAGAATATTTAACCGACAAAGGAAAAATAATTAGAGCCAGGCAGCCTAAACTATTTAAAGATAAATGCAGAAGAATGTGCAAGGACAAAATAACTGAGGAAAGTAAACTTGCTCTTTTTAAGAATTACTGGGAAACTATGACAGAATGATAAGATATATTGCTTCATTTATTCAGATTTCAAATAAAAAACTAGTATAAACGGACTCGACACTAGTAAGCGTGAAAAAATAAAGAAAACTTTTAAATAATACTCTATAGAAATACGAGGGGATAGAATTCAATGTTGCAAGGAATGCTTTGTGCAATTTTTGATGAAAGTAATAAATTTATAGCAAGCGTAACTAGAAAAAAACTGTTATCTGATTCTGGTATTCCATTGTCTGATGGTAGAGGCAAACATGAGCACAAAAACAAAATAACCATATCTATAATGCAACATGTCTATGATCATATAAACAGGTTTCCTGCGTATGAATCACATTACTCTAGAAAACATACTTCTAAAAAGTACTCAGTAGCAGACCTAACGAAAAGTAAGATGTATACGTTGTACACTCAGGAAGTACCATCTAGCCCTATGTCGCTTGAAGTTTATTCTCAAGCCATCGACGCATTAGGCTTTAAATTTAAAAAACCAAGCAACGATACATGCAAAACATGTGATATCTTTCAAAATAAGATTCGAAGTTGTCAAGATGCTGATGCAAAAACAAATTGCCAGCAGCTGTTACAAGAACATCATGATGAGGCTGAAGCTACTTATGAAACAAAAAGAATTGACAAATTAACGTGTTCAGACAGTAAAAGTCAAAAATTACTTTTAATTGATTTGCAACAGGTTCTGCTAACTTGCGAAGGTATCAACGCATTTCATGTGGCATGAAGGTATCGCAGAACGCAGAGCTAATGAGATAGCTTCATGTTTATTTGCATTTTTAAATAGTTTACTACCTGAGATTGAACACGTTACTTTATACAGTGACACTTGTTATGGACAAAGCAAAAATACTTTTGTGGCTACAATGTTAACATATCTTTTAACTAAAAATAACAGTTTAAAAGTAATTAGTAACAAGTTCTTAGTCCCTGGTCACACCCACATGGAATGTGACGTAAATCACGCGACAATTAAAAAGTTTAAAAAACATTGTTAATTTCCCATTCATGTACCATATGACTGGTATAATTTAGTTAGATTAACTGGCAACAAAAAGAACAATACTAAGAAAAGAAATAGAGAAGAAACACATAAAGACAATAAAATAGAAAAAGACAAATTTATAGTAGCTGAAATGGCCCAAGAGAAGTTTTTTGACTTTGAAAGTTTATTAAAAGGAAAACTGGTAAATAGAAAAAAAAACATAAAAAAAGAATGTGGTTTGCTGGAGCAGCATGAAGTGGTTAAGATATACCAAGGAAATTGGAGTTAATAATTTTAAAAATCCCTTGCAGAAATATGAGCCGTTTAAGGTTATAAATTTTAGAAGACAAAAAAGAGAAGCTACAGACTGACAGTATTATACTGGATAATTTATATAGCGAACCAAGACAAATAAAAAATTTGAAGATCTGTTGGCCCTTTTCGAACTAATTGATGATAGCGCCAAAGCATTTTATCGTGGACTTCTTAAACCCCAAAAAGACTCTCAGAATCCCAACGATACTACGGACACCGATCCGGATATAGATTATTATTTTACAGATGAAGAGTTTTAATTTTATATAAAAACTTTTTTCGTTTTGTTTGTTAATACAGTTATTCATAATAGAATATGTGCTTTATTTCAGTGACAATAACTCGAGTTGTAACCAAATTTTAGGTTATTGTTTATTAAAATACTACTATAGTACAAAATTGTATTAATTAAAAGTAAAACAAAAATATTCTCACCTCGGTTGCGGCCAGAGCGCACAGTCCAGCTATCGCAGCCCAAAAACAAACCCATGTCCATCTGAACATCTGCACTCTGGCCATACTCTCTTCCACCCACCTTGCCGGCTATACCATATTCACGGGCTCACATGTAATCTGAAACAAAACGAAATATTTTTAAATTTATTTTTTCCTCTACAATGGGAATATAATTTTATAAACAAGGTAATTGGGCAACTTTTTATAGATAATAGTGAATTAATAAGAATATGTAACCCTCTGAAACCCAAATAAATTACGGTTAGAAGATGTTTGTCGCACCACAATATTTGTTAATTGACACTATTTTTTAACGATATTACTATTTAATTTAGTTAAATTAAACATTATTAAATATAGGCATTTTCGGAAACCTACTATAGATAACAAATCCAGATTTCTGGGTTTACCCGATGGACTACGTGGATTACTGTCCTTAGTGCCGACAGTTTACGAACGAGTTGGATTATTGTTCCTGTTCACCTACGTCTCTCAATCTTTGACGTTTCCCCCTTATTTATTAAAGAAGCATTTTAGCTAAACATATTTGTATTCTGACTAATTAAGTTGCTATATGGGCATAAATATTTCAAATTATAACTAGTTAAAGGTAGAAAAATAGAATTAAATGTAATACAGATATATTTACTTAAACAGAAAAAAAATTATCATCTACATTCAAGAAAACACTTGGAAGATTAAATTTGTCTGTAATAAAGCAGAGTTTGCTTCAAATAATATTTCTGGATACAATAAGAAAATAAATATTGAGTAAAGTATAGGCATAATCTTGTATTTTAAGAGTTATAATAATTAATGTGAGAATAAATTATTTCATTCGAGTATAGAATTGTGAATTAATCCAAGAAAGCTCTTACGTTTATTATAAGTATGATATGCTTTTAAAACCAACTATTGCGTACTTGATTCAATGTTATGAAAGGATTCAATTCAAAGCATTTAAATTTCAGAACAAGAATTAAACAATTCGAATCAAAAACCTATGTACTTCAGAAAAGATTAGCTAGTACAACTTCACTGCATGGTGTTGCCAGCTGAAACTTATTTTAAAATGCAACCCCTGCAGTGATACGGTAGATATATGACTGTTAAGATGTGATATTTATTATTCGAAAGTAAGAGAATTTGGCAAATTGGCATTTTCTAACATGTTTGCTTCGTATCGTTAGGGTTGCGTATTACTTTTTGTTAGGAAATTCTTTGTGATTTAATTAAATTGAAATGGAACATTTGTTAAATGAATGGGGCCTCAGCGACCTGATACCAATATTTAAAAGTTAGTATATTTAGTTCACTTCTTGTTAGGTAATATTATATATAAGTAAATTTAAAATCATAAGAGCACGAAACAAACTGGAATAGAAGTAAAAAAAATGTATGATGCTCGATGACGACATTTTGGAAAGACGACTTCTGCCTTCCTAAGACAAGAGGTCGTATCTACGAAAATTCTGATTTCACTATTTTTACAAATTTAATAAGCTTACATTTTATTTTATTGTAATACAAAATAATAAAGGCATATTTGCATTAGAAAATATTTAATTTAATTATAAGAAAAAGTTAGTAAAATATGCAAAACTTATTTGCGAAGTCTAAAAGGACTTATTTATTTACTTACCCACATTTACCAAAAATATTCATTTTATAGATACGACCTCTTATCTTAGTAGGACAAACTTTTATGTTCCATTTAGGTTTTGAAGTTTTAAAATTATTTCTTTTTTAATTATAGATAGGACACCTCAGAGGATAGTGGAATTTGGATTATTAACTAAAAACAATTTTGAAAAATGTTTTTCGGTGAATAGGTACCACTGAGAACCCTATTAAAAAGCAAGAACAGCCTGATTTTATTTTAAAATTATTAATTTCTTCAATGAAACTATCCTATAATTCAACCAAAATCAATATATTTATGTTAAAGATCATATTATTATTGTAACAAATTTAGTTGTATTGGATTTAAGAACAAGGTATTATTGAATATAAATAAAGTATATTTAAAACAAGTGTAAGACTATTTCATTTAAGATGTACATAATACTGCAAATGAGCAATAGATACTCTTCATTTAATTAGAGGTGTTTTGGTTAGGGCAAGTTGATTCTAATCTTGAAGCAAGCCTTATTAGCTATTGTTGAACAAGTATTGCTAGAATTTCAAATCGAAAAGAGTTTTACTTGCGGATATACAAACACAACAAAGCATTGAAATAAGATCATTCATCTTGAATATAGTACACCTTTTTTTCTGTGTAGATACAGTTTTTGTGGATCATTCGATATTTTTGGTGGATTAATATGGAGTGATCCACACAAATGTTTCTAAAATATGTGGTGAAAAATAATAATAATTGTATTTTATCTGAAAATTACAATCCTAATTCATTGTGAACCTAGCTTTTAAACCTGAATTATTAATATTTTTACCTAACTTTGGCAGAGATATTCAATAATAATTATAAACATTTATTAGACAATTCTTTTAACCCATAATCATAGTTGTTTTTTTGTCGTTTCTATGACAACCTATAAAAATGAAGCACAAGTTAGATACCTACAATTCCCAGAAATACCGCAAGCTAGGAGAATCTTATCTAAATACATATCATGTTTCTAAGCACTTGTTAGATATTGTAATACACAAAAGATTCACTTCTGTTTTTGCCGTTGTAACAACAAGTTGTTCAAAGATTATTAATATTGTATTTTTTAAATAAAAATAATATTTTTTAAAAAGACTTTTTCGGTTGTTCGATTCGTAATTGGCGCAGTCAGTAGGATTCGTGCGGGTTTTGAAAAGAATAAACATTCGATTCGCATCTAGTGAAAAAGAAACTTTTCATAACCTTGGTATTTTAATACCTGAGTGCGGATCTTAAGAACCTACCCTTCAGTGGTGTATGTGAATCAACTACCCTTCAGTGGACTACAACAACCGAAGCTGTGGCAGAAGTCAGGGAAGAATTCCGGAACTTCAGACGAATACTGTAAGTGCCAAATCCTTTCGACTCTCCTTCCTTTTAATGGTTTTAGGAGAGATATTTTTAAGAATTTAAAATTTATTTTGCTATTTAAGAATTTTACATGAAAAAGTCTTAATTATATATACCTTTTAAAACTTTAATCAAATAATTTTAATATTCACATTTAAAGTTCTATGTCTATTGTTGAAGAAATATTAGAGAGTCTTAGTAGTCTGAATTTAAACGAAAATTCTGAAAATAATCTAGATTTATCTGATAAATTTAAAATGTCGCCTCCAACTTCATCAGAAACTCGTACGGTAAATTGGGATCTTTTTAAATCTAAGTTAGATAACATTAAGCCATATGATGGCGATAGCAGTACCCTCAATAAATTTATTTTACGTTGTGATAATTTAATAAAAACTTACGATTCTTACAAAGATAAAGATTTAAATAATCACATTTTCGAATGTATTCAAGAAAAATTGGTGGGAAAAGCGGAAGCTATGGTTGGTAATCGCATGGAGCTTAACTCTTGGGATAATTTAAAAAATGCTCTTAGGCAATGCTTCTCAGATAGACGTGATTTAGAATGTCTCTTACAGGAATTAACTAGGTCAAGACCATTTAAAAACGAAAATATGATTGATTTCGGCACGCGACTACAGTTATTAAGAAGTAATGCTGTTCAATGAATAAGTAACGATAGTAATTTGGGTAGAGAAGACAAATTATGTCAAATCCACCATTGTGACAAAACTGCTTTGCACACTTTCATTGCGGGTTGTACAGGGGTTCTTAAAAACAATATGCACCTCAAAAAACCTGACAGTCTTGAAGATGCTATGGCATATGTTCAAGAATTTGATAACTTTGGTAATCTTTATGGTAATACTAGTGAACAACAAAATCAATTTATGAAAAATAATAACTTTAGGTCACAAAACAATAATTCCATTAGCTCTAATTTCCAGTTGCAACAAAATCAATCATTTCCAAATTACAACTCTTTTAATCAAAATAATTTTCAAAATCAGCATCAAAATAATCAAAGACAGGCATTTCCTAGCCAACCTATAAGAATACAACCACAGTCTCAGCCACCCCGTAGATATCCAACTAATGAACAAGTATTTGGGCCACCGCGTAACGTATTCAAACCGGGACAAATATCCCCAGATAAATTACCGAAATTTAAGAAAACAATAGTCATCAAGGACAAAAATATTTTGTTAGAGACCGACAAAGGTGTATATCATAAAAATATAGCACGTAAACCAAAAAATAATAAAACTGGACTTTTACAGGTGCAACAGAAGAATGAAGTTGATGTTAATCCTGCTATACCTGGCAAGTCAAACCCAGACAATAAAAACTGACAATGATGATACACTTGTGACGCCTCTGGCAAACCTTTTATTATCCATCCGACTAGGACCTAGTAAATTAGTATATAGTAAACATACATTTATTTACTATTTAGATATAAACGAAATAGTTAGACAAGCAAAATACTTAAAACATAATTTTTTAGTAGTTAAGAGTACTATTAGAAGTGTGAATGCCACAAACCCAATATCGTATCATAAACTCGTCGAAAATATGTTAGAAAGGACACAAATTCTAATTAACTCTATTGAAAGAAAACTTGAAAATATCCATCCTCGTATCAGATCGAGACGCGGCTTAATAAATGGCTTAGGAAGAGTAAATAAGTGGATTTTCGGAAATCTCGACTCCGAAGATGGGGATAGATATGACAATGCAATACAAATCTTACAACAAAATCAAAAACAAATAATAAAAGAAACCAATTTACAAATATCATTGTTCAACAAACTCATAGATCACTATAACAAATCATTAACGATATTGTGGCAAAATCAAGCAAAATTTCAAATTAGTTTAGAAAGATTCCAAGGTACAATTGAAAATCAAATTAATAATATAGAAAGATACATAACTTTCGAAGCAACGGTAAATCAAATAAACCTAGATTGTCAGAATATGATCGAATTTATTGACGGCTTAGAAAATGCCATGATTTTCTCGAAATTAAATTCATTACATA